TTGGAACGCCAGCTGAACCACGCCTCTCTGCTTCCCGGCACAAGCTGTATAGTACGACACCAAGGTCTCGAGGTTGCTTAATTACGTGCATAACTTGTTCCCTCGTCGCTGAGCCCATCGGCCCCCGTACTGTCCAGACTGAATGCGGGGTTCGTATCACCTCATGCAATCTGCAAGCTTCTGCAGTGCTCTGGACAGGGACTCGTGCTGAGACGGCTCCCGATCGCGACCATGTGCACCCTGATCGCGTTGCACACATGCGTCTACCGCACTCCAAACGTTCGGCGACCCAGCTTGGTTTTGCTTTGCAAAAGATTCGCGTCAACGACCGCCATTGGACGAGTTGGCCTGCTCCTCCCACGCAGCGGGCTCTCTTCGCCTCATTCACTTGCACAGCTGACAGATGCAACCTGGCCAGTACATACGTGCTCTGACGTCGTCGCGCAACTCTGGCGGTGAGTCCCGCTGAGACTTGGAGTCAAGCGACTGGTTTCCTATCCCGTTATGTCCCCACTGTCACCCACTTGCACCTGCAGTAGTCGTTGTTTCTTCTTCCGACCGCAGAGCGTTCAACACGTCTTGCAGCGGAATGCGTTATTTCTCCATGTACGTGCGGCTCGTGCTTTTTGTGGGGTAGGCGAATTCGGAAGGAAGTCACGACCCAGCACTCACTCTTGACCGGACAAACTCTCTATGCTGTACACACAGAGTGACAGCACTCGATGCGTTGTCGATCGCATTTCATTAATTCTCCGTACAACGGACCGAGTTGCGCGGATCACTGTACCAAACAAACGTCCCCTGAGACCGCCGTTGCTTTGCGTTCCACTACCTCCACGCCGCCGGATCACCAGTCTTGGCAATACTCTTGACGACTTGCTTTTATTGCCTGCCTCTTGGCACCATGGAGGGATTGCTTTCCGCGCTTGGCACTCGTTCATGTGCCGCTCATCATTCAGACAGCCAATCTACACGAGATTGACGATATGTGCGTCGGGTGGGATTTACTTCCCGTCGCTATTGCCGTTCACGAATTCTTAACACGGAGAAAACGTCCGCCACTTGGCAGGCAGCACAACACAACCACAGGCACGAGACTAACGAACCCAGCGGTAGGCAATGTGGACACCGCTCCAAAGCTCAACAACTCATCTACATATAGTGACGTTCCGGTGGCCTACAAGACATCCACTATCTTTGCACTGCATGCATTGCCCCGACTAGACCAGTGCCTAAGACCCAACATTCCATTGTCCCCCAGGTACCAGCCTCGTTGACGACGCGCTAGGATGCAGAGAAGCTTCCGCTAACAAGACTCTGTGCTTGTTGCCATCAAGGTTTCGTCGAGGCTGGACAAGCTCACGCACGGCAGCATCTCGGACACCTCCTGACCTTCTCTGATACATGCTTCGGGTGGTACAACAGCGCGGAAATGGCGCGCCAAGATGGGTAGATCACCTTGGCGCAGCAACGTGTGCCACTGGCAACTTTCTGTCGTGCATGATCTGCCCTCTCCGCCGGAATGAAGAGTCACAGCAACGTCTTGGCCTCATTTCGACGGGAGCACCCGGAAGTCAGTCGGGCAAGAAAGCAATCACGTCCACGACCGGTAAGACCACAGTCTATACAGAGACATGCGGTCCGTATCTTGGAATGCCACGCCGGTCTTATCGCGTTCTTGTTCGGGTCGACCCGATCCGGTAGGCAGTCTGGTGCATTCCAGGAGTGATTACATATCGAGGTATGCATTAGCTTGAACTCTATAAACACATCGATGTAGATCATATCGAACAAGTTCGGGACGTATCTATCCGTGTGGGGAGCGGACAAGCTCATTTGTAGATATTTCTCTTTATGAGCTCTTTTAAAGATAGCTTTGTACACTTTGTTGATCTTTGCGGACCCGAAATACAGTTCATACTACATCCAGAAAGACGATAGCATACTTGTGTTGTACATTGGCCCTCACAAGCTGCAATAACACGCTCCAGGGAAAGTAGTACTGTCATTCTCCGTGGAATCTTGGGCACTCGCGCCTGGCTTCACCCGCTTGAGCAGCACCCGGTATTTTCCCGAGGATTTACTGAGCCCATGAACATAACAAAGCAAATAATGTAGATAGTGCGAGGTCTCCACGATCTAGGTTGGTGTCACACAAAGCTTCTGCGGGCCAATTAACTCCTTTATGCGCGATTGCCCTCTCTTGCTCCGTGTGGGTACGGATCACTTTTGATAGCTGCCCGGATTCATTGGAAACTGCGAACATTTCGAGCTAACTAGTATGCAAGATAGTAGGTCAAGCGTGCGATCGCGCCCTGCTTTGGTATACATCCGTTGAAAATCTGATTTGCTTCGAACTCGTCCTCATGATTTGTTATTCGCAACGCAACAACTTTATACCAGCTCTATCACGCAGGCCACATTTCTCTATTGACAATGGGTATTTAATTGAATTAATGAATGTGCTGCGATCTGTTCTTATGCTTTCCCGCGAAGTAGATATACCTCTCAGGGCAAGATCTAGAGGGAAATTTGACGCTCTGAGCAAAGAGACGAGTAAAGAGACGAGTAAAGAGACACCTTTCAAATCCTGCCATGCGTAACGAAAGATTGTATTCCAGACACTACACTAGAAATACCGTTTGCATGTCTTGCTTGGGTTTGCCGTAGTTGTAACGCGTGGGATCATTAGTCCCAATGCACTGATCTTGTAACAGACCAATTCTGCGGTACGTAGAAACATGACCGTCCTTTGTAGCCTGGATATCTGTTGCGTGTACTCGCTCAACAATGAGCGCGGTATGTTCTCGATTGCGATCAGTTCCGACAGGAATAATATCGTACTCCTTCTCTTTTGTCGTGTTCCCTTGCCATTCGTCCCAATAAATCGTTCTTCTGTGCCAGTTGCTTTCCCCATTTCCCATATCGAGGGGAGGCAACCTACCTTCTCGTACATTCTCTGTTTCAATAAGAATAGTAACGACCTGAGCAAGCAGCTTGATCGATCCTGATTGGATGTTGCCATAGGGGTTACTGTGTTGCGCAAGTGTGAAATGTACGTCCAACACTTGAACCAATATGTCTCTGGTCCTCGACCCCCCTCTCCTCAATATACTTCCGTGCACTGAGGCCCAACTCCAAGTAGGGGCTATCTTCATCCGATTGGGCGTGTCCACGTTTGGTGGTTCAAATTTGTACCACAATAGATCTTCTGGCAAGCGACTTTTCCATAAGCCTGCGCAGTACAAATCGTCACTATTGAATTTACGATGTACGAGGCTCGCCAAAGACGACAAGGCGACTAATCGATCTTCTGAATTAGTGAACTCTGTCTTAGAGTAATCAGCGACGAAGTACATCCATGTGGCTTGCCGCGGACCATTGCCAAATCGTGCGCTCCAATTAAGTCCTGATACAGAAGTCGTTACTTCTAACACGTTAGTATGGCCATGCTCTAGGGCACTACCACATTCCCAGATCACGCCTTGCAACGTAAAGTGGAGTACGCGTCGTGAGAGGAGCCGCTCTTGAGTAACCCATCCGCGCTTGTTCAAAGCCGAACTTGTGAGTGCCTGATTGAACTTGATGGATACTGGCTTCAAAAGGCGAACATTCATGTCCCCGCTGCTCATGTGCTGAACAACCTGGCATGGAGCGGCGCCAATTCGCTTGCTGTCCGTTTTCGAAAGGAAGCCATCTTTTGCACTATCGGCGCAAGTAGCGGCAATATTGCATATGGCGTTTTGATATGTAGTACCCATGCGAGGGCCCTCCGTATTCCAGTCCGTGTCATCGCCATAGGCATCAGGCTGGACAATACACAGTGCATCTATCCACAGGAATCGCATTCCGAGCCCTCTTGTTGTTTCTATAGCGTCTCTGAAGGTTTGTGGCATACTCTCCACTTCGATGCTGATTTGGCGTGCGAAAGGCGCTCTCAAGACGCAGCCATGAGGTGTGTCTCCCCATCGATAGCTCAAGGTGCAGTATTGTGACAATTCGGCTACTGATAAAGCGCCATTAAGGATATGCGCCTCTACATCGACCACGAGAACATCAGAGCCTTTTGAGAGATCTAACAGCCGACGCGGCAAGGATCGCTGCGTACTATAACAGGCAGCAGGGTTTTCGAAACCTGGGGGTATTCCGTCAAGGCCGACGTTATCTATCTTGCCGCATTCGCAATGAGATGAAAGACACCGCGAGAGAAGTTGCTGGGCTTGTGATACCGGATCTTCCTCTACTTCCAACGGAGATGGTCTACATGGTAGATCGTCGGCGCCTATCCATACATCAATGCCGTCCCCAAGTAGTATAAATGGTGCTGATTTCATGACTGTGCCGTGCTGCCGAAAAAGCCGTATCGGCTGATCCAGATACTTTTCCTCCGATGCCCACTCATCAGCATGCTGCCAACAAAGCGTACAAAGATCACAGCCAGCACGCGCTGAAGCGATCATATGTGCTCCTGATGACCATTGTCGATCGAGTTGTGGCGCCGGCAGCACTTCCGCGAAGTCCGCGAACGCTGTGCAAGGAGCACAACGAGGCATGGCGACCGTGAAGCCAGGGCGATGAAACGATGTTTTGAAACTATGTTGATAAGTGTGCAGTCGGAAACATGAGCTGAGGGTTCTCGATTCGTATATTTGGAGACTGGACGGTTCGAGGAAAGCCTGTGGTGAGAAGGAATGTGTTGGAGTTCAACCACGCCGCAACCTTGCAGGAGCGGGGTAAAGCTCAGTAGAAGACGACAGAGCCTTCGTGCGACTGAAGATTAGGACCACGGTTCGACTTCCGACGCATCGATAGCAGAGATACATCCAGGGCGAAAATCCGATCGCTGTGCGCAACCGCCATACTTGAAGACGCACCCCCTCTGAAACGTGCGAGGACCAGACCGGTCCGGCTAACGGGTCAATTTTATACATTTCTATGCTTTTACCCTTCAGTCCCACTACTCAGCGACCCTATATACACGCCATCGCTCTTGTAAAAGTTTACACCCCACCGTCTCCTCTGCGACCCATGCCAGAGTCTCCAACACGTACCTCTTTCTTAACATACGCCATCTCTTTAGCAGGCACGATCACCCACTCCCTCTCATCCATAATCCTATCCAGACCACAGCTACGTCCCTTCCAGCCCTCTCCCCTCAAACTCCTCGCCACCTGCCAAGACGCGGCGATGATATCGTTCACGCTAACGCCATTGAATTGCGCGCCTACAACGCGTAACCGGCCCTTGAACTCGTTGGACATGCCTTGCGCGAATTGCTTGAGGCGTTCATCGTAGCCGAGTGTGTATTGAGGAATGCAGTCGCGGGAGAGGTTTGCGATGTGGGCGGTGGGCTCGTCGGTAATGTTAAGGTGTCGCTTGATAACGCTCCTCGCCATTTCTAGACCTTCTTCCTCCGTGGGAAACCCCTTCCAGCCGTCCCACCAGTGGCCGCCCATCATGACTGTGAGTTTTGTGCCGCTAGCTGTGTCTTGACCTTTAACAGCAGAGGAGTCCCAGATTACGCCAAGAGCGCGCTCGGGGTTTTGCTCGAATGGAATTCCTTGTGGGATGAGGTAGCCGAAACCTTCATAAGGGAGAAGGTTTGGATTGGGGAAGTAGAGGTTTACTGTCATGACTGTGGCGAAGGGGGTAATCTCGTCGTTCTTGAGGGTGGAGATGGCGAGATCGAATGATTCAGTTGATGTTGAGCCTTCAGTCTGTATACTGTCAGTACTTGCGGTTCTAACTGAAGACGATGAACGTACCCCAGAGACAACCTCGACACCCAACTTCCCGTTCTCATTGAGAGGCTTGAAAGTATGAATGGGCGACTCTGTTCTGATCTCAATGTTACCTTTCGCCTCCACAGCATCCACTAATGCTCGAACCATCTGCTGCAATCCGTTTCTGAAGGAAAACATAGCGGAATCCTTCAGGTTCTTCGCAAAGTCGAGTTCCAGATCAATCTCCTCGTTCATAGCTTTCGCTACTTCCCGATCATGTGGGTGGACGAGTGTGACCGGCTGCGATTGTCCGTGTTCATTTTGCATGCGGAACCAGCCTCCAATAGCACTGCCGTATCGCGCCTCCAATTCCCAACCCGTATTAAACAACGTCTTAGCGCTCAGCTGATTGATATCGCCGGCATATATGCCGTGGAATACCGCTGAGACAAGATTGTCCGCTATCCTCTTATCCACCCTTCGTGCGAGCCACGAGCCAATTGTCTCATCCGTCAGGGAGTCCGGCCGCTTTGGCCTCAATGGTTCTGTGATCGCACCCAATATACCCTTCAGTATGCCAGTCCGCCATAATGTAAAGAAGTCTGCGAAGGTGGGTGGTGGAGAGGGAAGGCGGTTGAGCTGGTCAGGATAGTAAATGAAGCGGTTCTTTGCGCCGGGTTCGCTGCGCCTCGTGTATGTGATGTCGTCAACGAGACCGAGTTCTTGTACCTATACACACTCCATTAGCAATGCCACCATGGTTTAGACATGTTCGACTTACCAGTCCTGCAGTGACAGTTGCGTTTCTCAATGTCCTCGGGCCCAATTCGAACAGCACATTCCCATTCTTTCCCTCTGAATCCACAACGTCGACTCGTCGACTCTTGATCCAGCCACCCGTGTCCTTCCCCGCCTCAAACACCACCACTTTAGTCTGTGGGAACTCCTTCGCGATGAAGTGGGCGCTCGTCAACCCCGCTATGCCACCGCCGAGAATGGCTATCCGCTCTGGGTACGAGGACTGGTAGCGAACGGCGCATTGTGCCGTGGAACGGAGGAGCAGACGTTGTGATGATGCGAGAAGTGGCCGACACGGATGCAATGGGGATGGCGTGTGGGATGCAAGCGCGGGGCGCGCGGCAACGGTCTTCAACGTCTTCTGCGAGACATTCTGGAGCCGCATTGCCGGTTCAATTGGTCGCAAGATCGATTGGATGGGCGTTGCGACGACGACCAACAAGGTGCATTGGGAAGTTCAATTGATGTTCCTGCGGGAAAATGTCCGAGCTTGGGCCGCTTCCTCTCCGCAATCGATGGCTGCTGCCGTCATTGATTCAGCCCTACACAGGCCATACCATGCACGAGCAATTCAGTGCACACAAGAGATCAGCCACGACATCGGGTACACAGCTTAATAACAGGCTACACGCTGAGGGATTCAATTGTCAAGAAGTTGTATTTCACAAGCTACCGTATACATATAAAGTCACTGTCACGGCAGAACAAGTCTATCTACTGGCGCAAAGTATACAAACCTTGAATATCGTATATTTTCGCATCGGGGTGGGGGCGTCGGGGGAGTTGCGTGAACGTGATTTCGGAACGGGGATCGAAGGGGGAAAGTGAGGTTGGAAGACTTCGAGGTACTACGGACCGACCGAATAGTGTACAGGCAAGGAACTCGAACCGCATCGATATCGACCGATCGACCGAAACAAGGCGAGAAGTCCGAATCGAATGGAAGTCGCCGTAACCGTTCGCAAAGAAGATCCGAATCGAGCTTTTCGACTGCTGAATGCATTAATGTCGTGGCAGGACATAGAAGTAAATCTAGCCTCCACTTATGAAAGTAACAAAATCCCAGAAACCATTTTCCTCGCAACAAAACACCGTGCTTGAACCAATTTGAGCACTCGTGTCAATACTAGCCTTGGGCAGACAGTGACAGTGAACCGGAAGCTGCTTGCTAGACGCAACGCAACTCGGCTCTACTCAGCCACGTCCAGGTCTTCGTGAGCGGGAGGGGGAGGAGAGTCGACTGTATTTGTGATCAGAGTAGTTCGTCGTAGAAGGGGTCGGTTGCCTCACTCTTGCGGACTTCGCCGACCGGGTCAGCCTCGCGCTCACGCTCGCGCCTCTCATCGCGATCGCCACGGTCACGGTCGCCACGGTCGTCCTCGCGATCACGGACATCCTTCATCTCACGGTCGCCATCAATGGGGCTCCTTGACCGGTCGCGGTCACGGCGGTCGTAGTCGCGCTCGCGGCGGTCGTCCTTGCGAGGAGAAGCTCCGCGCTCGCGACGAGGAGAGGTGCTGCGGCGGCGAGGAGAGCGAACACCTCGGTCTGCACGGTCACCACCACGGTCGGAACGGTCGCCACGGTCGCCGCCACGCTCAGAGCGCTCGCCACGGGGACGGTCACGGCCGGAGTCAAACCGCCATGATGCCGAAGGAGGCGTACGGGCCCACTGTAGCTGATTAGACAGACCCACGTCATTATGCGGTTCGGACATACCTCGATCTTCAACAAGTCATCGCGGCCGATGCGCTTGTTGTGCATCTCGTGGTACGCGTCGTCGGCGTCACGGCGAGACTCGTATTCGACGAAGGCGAAGCTGCTGGCCTGTTAGAGCCTGGGTCGTTTGCTACCGGGGAGGGCCAACTCACAGTCTAGAAGAAGCCGAACGGGGCGCTGGGATGTCGCAACGAACGAGTCGGCCATAGCTTGAGGATTGTCAGATCATTTGTTTGGAAGGAGCGTGTGGAAGAAGGGCGGAAGGTGCAGATCGTCGTCGACGCGCACGGGTGTTGTGGGAAGGAGGAAGCTGCGCCGCGCAACAGCGATCGCGACACCCGGGGCGCGTGAAGTGTACAAAGGTTGTGGAATCGAGGGCTACGATGCGGAACGACGATGCGATTGCGATCGGATTGGGGCGAGGCGTTGGAAGACATACCGTTCGAACTCGTAGGCAAGGTCGCGAGCGCGTGTGCCGTGGCCGAAGCCGGTGACGTAGAGCGTGGTGCCGCCGCCGCGAGACATGGTTGTCGTCTAGTTGGGTATCGTGTATGGAGGTAAACGGTTCAAACTTGCAGCTGTGACAAGTCGAGGGTGACAGTGACGGGTGTGGTCGATGATGGAAGGTCGCAAGCCGGCAGGAAAGTACTGGAGGCAGCTACAGCAAACGCTTGGACTAGCGCGCCTTGGCATTCTCACGCAGACGTCAAGTACCTGAAGCTTCGACATTCACTCGACATCTGATCCTTGCAATTTGCGCTAATCGGCGGAACACTGACGTCGCGCATACTGTCGCACTGTTTTGGTGGTCCTGCCTCTTCGAGATGGTCGGTGCCAAAACTACCTCAATTCGACTGATGGGGAAAGAGCTCACGAGCGCGACATGCGCAAGGCAACGCGTTGTCGAGCAACTGTCGATTACATATTACACTAATGGTACATCTATTGCTGACTGTCTACATTTTCACTACGCAGGAAATGCTCCGTAAGGTGCTCCCTCGAGCTTAAAATACCCTGGCTGGAGCACCTGGAAGACTCCCGTTGGGTCGTACTCGCCAGAGATGCTCTTCAACCTTTGCTTGTTGGCAGCCCCATAACTAGCAATGACATCTTGGTACGGCGACGCGTAGTTCATATAGATGTAGTCGTGATTGAGATCCTTCTTCGCCGCTTCCTCGACAAGCCGCTCGTACAGGCTGTTGCTGAAAGACATGATCCGGGCATTATCCGCAACGTCTGTCCAGAGGATAGCCAGATTACAGATGAAGATTGGGCCATCGCTGGGGTCAAGACCGAGCGCGTTACCGCCGTTCTGTTGCATCTTCTCCATGGCAGGGACGGTGATTGCCTGGAAGGAGAGAACGGGCAAGATGCCCGCAGCGTCTTGAATCGCAGGCACCATCTCGAAGAATATGTCAATGAACGCCTTGAAGATATCCCGATCCACCTTGAAAGTTCGGTCCCAATAAGTCTCTTGGACGCCATCGGGTGCCCCAGCACCAAGTTGGTTGGCCAACGTCGACATGTTCGCAATGGCCGTTTGGTCGATGATCGCTGGGATGGCTTTCCAGTCGTCGAAAACTGCTGGCCATGGCGTAGGCTCGGAGTACTCTAGATCCTCGGCCGCAATCTTCATACCAGCCTGTAGCGCAAAAGACACGATCTGAGCTTGTTTCGTGTCCTTCTCTGCGTTGACAGCATAGTTGTAGTATGCTTCGTACACTTTATCCCACTGATCCTCAGTATGGGCGCGCTGCCCACCCCACATTTCACCTTGAACAAAAGTTCTCATGTTGAACTTGGTGACAATACCGAAGTTGTTGCCACCACCGCGAAGAGCCCAATAGAGATCTGGAGATTGGGTGGCACTCACGTCCACAATGATGCCCGAGGCTGTCACCACTTCGAAAGACTCGATGTTATCGCATGCCCATCCATGGGCGTTCGCGTAATGGGAGATGCCTCCTCCTAGAGTTAATCCAGACACACCGACGGATGAGATCTGCGCACTGTTAGAAGAGTCATGGCAGTAGGGAGCTATAGAGAAACAGGAAAGGGAAGCAACATACGCGACCACCAATAACTTCAAGGCCATACTGCTCAATCCATGGATACACGTCCGCCCAGCGATTTCCTGAGCCAACAGAGGCGATCTTCTTGTCTGCAGATAGGGTCTTTTCGGTGAATTTCTCCAGGGCAATAGTAATGCCTCCCTCAATGCTAGATCCACCAGCAAAGGCAGCGTGTCCACCTCCTTTCACAGCGAAAGGGCATTGCGTGAGTCGGGACAGGAGCACAACAGTTGAGACTTGCGAAACACTACTAGGCTTGAACACACAGAACGGGTTGACAACGGCTTGCTGAGCCGCCCAATAATCGCCGGTGAAACTGTCGTATCCTGCACTTCCTTCCGACAACACGGTACCGTTACCAAAGGAAAATCTTAGGGCTGCACACTATACCTCTTGTCAGTATCGATCTTGAGCAACATGCAAAAATGTGTATCAACATACAGCTAGCGAACAAGCACTGGAGGAAGATCGTTCCGCCAGAACTGCCAAACCAGAAATGCCAGTGACATCGAAGCCGTTGTTCAGCAACGCTTTGGTGACATTGAAGTCGTCAGGCTCGAAACCACTTGCCAGCACGCAAGCTGCAAAGGCGCTTGTCGAAGTAGCTATCGTAAACTTCATGCTCCCTGTTCGCCAGTATGCGGAAGATGCCGGACGGTGGTATATAGCTGGTACCGAGAGAGTGGCTCACTGACTGAGTTGCAGGGAGCCACTGCACTTAATGTACTTCGGAGTAGGTTTACCATATTCGTTCCAGGCCGCGAAGGACACTACTACGGACGTGTTGTTAGTGCTTGTCCGACGGGGTCTATAGCTCTCTAGCGACGCGGAACGGCCAGTTCGGTCAAATTCTTAGTGGACAGTAACCTCGAAGTTTGTGGGGTAGAGACTAGGTAGTCTATTGACGTGAGGCGCGCCGTGGCAAAAGTATAGCATGGTAGCTGATAGCGGTATTCATCTGGAGCTGGTGTGGCTGCATGGCAATTTCGACGTAGCGCAACATCGGTGGAAGCATGAAAGACATCTTTGTTCTTTTTCTCCGAGGGCTCTGCGGGTAGATGCATCGCTTCCGATGAGCTGGGTTGCTGTGCCTCAATCTTGCAGCGATCCATGGTCTCCACTTTGCAGCGTCTGGAGTAAGACATAAGAATTCACTTGCCAAGCAAGCGTTCGCGGTTCGTGTTGGGAGTGGATGAGGCAGGAGCCAGCCGTGCCGCTCTCTCATCTTTGCCACGGGACGGTTCAATACGCCACCACCACGCCAGCTGTACACTACTATCCGGGCATCCGCCAACCGCAAGACACCTCTTTGCACCCGCACCTATCGACCAGGAGGCAGCTGACTACATTCATCCGACTTACCACTGAGCAGACTTCTAGGAGCAGCCACTTCTACGGCTGTCCAAAGTCTCCCTTTTAGGTTCGCACCACGATAAAGTCTGTGAGCCAATATGTGATATGCTAGTCTCTTTGTGGCTTGCCTCGCCGAAGCCTGCTCCCCATCCACGCTGCCAGGTGGTAATCTCCAGGCACATGTCGGCATTGACAGAAAAAGCATGCTGTCCGCTAGGTCCGCGTCAGGCACCGTGCCGCTTCGGACGCTGTAGCGCAAATACGAACAACACACGACGAGGAATAGCGCGAGCGGAGAACTGCACCTCCTAAGCTAAGGGTCATTTAGCCAGGAGGCGTTTTGGGGGCTTGCTGACTTACGTCCACCACGGAACACCAAACGTGCGCGTCAACACTTGAATAAGGCCATCACAACTACTTTCGGACTTCTTGAAAAGAGTGCGTGACGTCGCGTAAGAGGAAACGATCGGGATACCAGATTCCAGGAACCGGGAACTGAGGACCGGGGCAATCCAGTCGCCGTCTAACCCTTACCCACACTCCGACACGCGATGGCCCCCATGTAAATCAATTTGCATATGCGTCTTACGGGCTTTTGCACCCCTACGCGCACTGTACTTTGGGTAATCCCTGGCAAATCCCAGCTCCGAAGTGCTTTAATCCAGAGTGTCGGGCTTCGTGGATCGGAATCCTAGGTTCATTCCATCTTGACAGCTTCAACGGCACGGTCTTGTCGCGACACACAAACGCTTCGAGGAACGTATCCCAAGGATTCTGTTATTCTTTGTGCGAGTTTAAACGACAACTGGAAACACACGCCTCAGCAACCATGTCCACGGGCGCTGACTGGATCTCGCAGCATGATTTACTCCGGACAGACTACGCCATGCTGGCGATGACATCGACGGTCTTCATCGCACGGATCGGTGTTCAGATTTGGCGGCGCAAACCCATTGAAGCACAGGACATCCTGCTTTACATTGCATTCGCTGCCTATCTTGCTTTTACCATTCTTTACATCGTCATTACGCCCATATTCTTCAGACTCCAGGCTCTCCAAGCTGGTCGCATTGCACCATGGCCCACCATGATGGAAGACATTATTCTCGCCGCGAAAGTCATGTGGCAGAGCGGAATGGAATATTGGACGTGTCTTTGGTTTGTTAAGTTCTCACTATTGGCACTATACAAGAAGCTGTTGTCTGGAATGCCCAAGAAGTACCTTTGGATCTGGTGGTTCACCTTGATCTTTTGCGTTGTGGTATGTAAGAGTTCACGTTGCTTTGTCTTTACGCACATAGCCTCCAGCAAGCATGACTAACTGGGCACAGACATGGGCAACGTGCATCATTACAGGCCCTGGTCTAGCCTGCAACGACACCAAGAGTTTCTTGGGCGAGGGCATTCTATGTTCATCGCCTAGCGAAACACGCCGGCAAACTGCGAATCTCTATTATGCATACGCAGTGGATACTGTAACCAACATGATGGGTGTGTTCAAACGCGTAACTTGATCATATTCTTAGTACTGACAAGTGGCAGTCATGTTCCTACCCATCAGGCTTATCTGGAACCTGCAGATGGAAAAGCCGAAGAAGATCGGTTGCGGTCTCCTATTCGCATCCGGCCTTGTTTGTATACTGTTCTCAACTATCCGCATTGTGCAGGTTGGCCAGAATGGAAGGCCTCGCTCGCCAGATCCAAAGTGGCTGACCATGTGGACCATCATCGAATGTTCGACAGGTAAGTCCAACGCATCTCAATACACTCTACTCGGCTAACTTGATGTCAGCTATCATCATCGGTTGCTGTCCAGGGCTCGCGTCTGCAGTACCAAAGAGCCGCTTCCGACGAACAGACAGTATCTCCTACGACACACAGGGCTACGTTCGACAATCGCCTAATCGATCCAGTGGAAACGCGCCGAAGAGTCATGGCTTGAGGAATATGCTCGGTTCCAGAAATCGCGACAAGAACAGCGAGAAGATGTCAGGAGACATTAGTATGTCGAGGACTGGGCATGAGAGTGAGGAACAGCTTCCAGAACGCAGAACAACAGGCTCCGGTGTTCTTATCACAGATGAACTACGCGAGCAACAGAGACTTCGGATGGAGGAAGATGAGCGCATGGAAGAGGCACGCCTCAAGTTTGAGCAGTCGCATGCGTGATCTTGATCGGCAGAATACATGAATTTCTTGATAAGCGCTCTAGATGCTGTGACAGTCCAATTGGAGTATTCAGTGAATAGTATTACGTTGTACTGTCTTTCGAGAACGATGACCATGATTTGGTCCACGACTGTTGAAAAACACGATCACCTATCATTGAATGTCAAAGAGAGCCTCTCTTTGATCGCCGGCGCGTGTTACTTCTGTTCTCACTATTGGCAGAGGTGATGCAACATCTTACTCGTCTCCAAATAAAACATGCACTGCAAATGTCTGTCTGTATCTAACAGTGACTCTGATTATTATGACAAGGACACAGCTGTCAGTGACCTACTACCGGCAACACGGTCTAGGGGTTTGAACCAGCTGCGTTACAAAGCAGCTACGAGCCGCTTTGATCCACCATACAATGTCTCCGGGTGCTGTTAGAACAACCCCATAGAGCACATCCTGATGTATAATCGGGTGGCGAAGAAGGCGGGCGATGGAACAAGACGCACCGCGAGGCGCTAGTGGCAGCGGCAAGTGCCGAGCTTTGATTGCGCAGAACTTGAGCAGGCGCTCCGAGACAATTGCTTCCTTCTCCACAACCCACGCTCCAACCCACTGCACTTGACGCGCACCCATCTTCACGACTGACGACACATCTCTTACGACCGTCGCACTCCGTACCCGCGACAGCCTTACGTCACACGTCACAAAAGTCGCGTTCCTCGTCGCTCCCTTTGTTTTCCACCCACCGCCAACCTCGAATTCACGCGACAAGCCCATCAACCAACGCCTGCCTTCACCATGGCTGTCGATTTCTCGAGCGAGTCGCCGCTGGCGATGCAGCTGCAGCAGGTAGTCCAGCCCAAGCTCGCCGAGTTTGGGTGGACGACGGGCGGCGAAGACACGACGCTCTTCGAGTACATCCTCCTTATGCTGGCCAACGACAAGAACGAAGCGCAGGTCGCATCAGAACTGTCAAATGATCTGCTCGACCTGGGCCCGGAGAACACAGAGACACAGCAGTTTGCGCAGTGGTTATTCGAGCAGATCGAGCACCTCAAGCAGTCGAGCGGCGGCAACGCGCAGGTCACACAGTCAATCGAGAACCAGATGGACAGCACCTCAAACGACAACTCGGCAGCTGCGCAAGATACAGATATGGAAGGCGCGTCAGAAGGACAAGGCAATATGTATGTGAACCCTCCACTTTCCCGCCCCTTTAGGGCAGCTCCACAACCGTGGAAAAACTGCAAGGAGATCGCGCAATCACGCGCATGCCAAATCAAGGCGACGTCGAAGCTTGCCGTGGCTCCTCTGCGCTCACGTTCCTCGTATCAAAACCTGCAGATTCTAACCGCAAACAGTCCTACAGGCCCCAAGGCTATGCGCAACGGCAGCGGTGCCCAAGCAGCACGTCCAGCACGAGGCGGCCGGATGCTCAACCAACTTAATAAGAACATGGACCGCAACAGCGACTCGGTGTTACATCGCGTACGTGGCGCCGGCGGTGGAGTTGGTCGTGTGAACGCGCACGCCCGCGATCCGCCAAAAGGCCCACGGGGCCAGAACATCGGACGCGGAATCGAGGCAATGGCAAACGGCCGCGGTATGGGCAACGCCAACATGAACATGGGCCAGAACAACATGAACGGTATGGGTATGGGCGGTATGCCAGGAATGCCTATGCCGGGAATGGGTGGTCAGAATGGCATGCCTGGCATTGGCCTGAACCCGCAACAGCAAATGGCCCTGATGCAGATGTACGAGCAGCAGGCACAGATGATGCAGCAGATTTTCTCCGGTGGCCAACCAACCGGCTTCGTCAACCCCAATTTCAATGGCAACAACCGCGGACCTAAGAAGCCGTTACATCAACGCATAGACCGGTCACACCAGGGCGGCAGAGGCATGAACCCGAATGCTAAGACTTTCACCAAGAAGGAAGGCGAGGACGAAACGATGGCAGATGGTCCAGCTGGAGAGAGCGGCAGCGGTATGGACGTCGAACTGCCTTCCGGCCGCCCAGATCCCTCGTCCACCATGTGCAAGTTCAACTTGCGATGCAGCAACCCCGACTGCCACTTCGTTCACCAGTCGCCCGCTGCGATTCCCGGAACCCCGGTCGACATGAACGATACGTGCGACTTCGGTGCGGCATGCAAGAACAAGAAGTGTGTCGGCAAGCACCCATCGCCTGCGCAGCGACAGAAGTTCCAATCAGAGCAGGAGTGCGCCTTCTGGCCCAACTGCCGTGATCCCTCGTCGTGCCCCTACAAGCATCCCACATCAAAGCCTTGTCACAACGGCGCCGACTGCGCTGTCGAGGGCTGCAAGTTTGGACACAGTGCCATCATGTGCAAGTTCAACCCGTGTCTTAACGCGCGCTGCTTGTATAAGCATGAGCCTGGTCAGAAGAAGATCACTACAAATAAATGGGTCGCCCCCAAGGAGGGAGAACACGTTAGCGAGAGGAAATTTGTTGACGACGAGCAAAAAGAGGAGTTGATTATTCCGGGCAAGGACGAGGAGATGCAACAGGCACCGGCGAACGAGGGCCTGGACGTGCAGGCATAGAAGGATCCTGAGCTATTTTACTGGGACGTAGGTGGTGGATATGATACCATTGAGATGACGGGCAGGTGATGTTGGGTGGAACGTAGAGCATTGTATTATAGTCTGGATCTGCTGGACGAGGCGTTAGGGTTGGAGGCATGGCCCCAACGAGGAGGAGAGAGAATTACTTGTTTCTGGCGGCCCGCGTTGGCTGCGCTCTTCTTCTTACATATTCGCATCCTCTTACGCGTGACATTTGTGACTTTCTGACATGTCCCCTGGATGTACCCGCTGTTTTGCAACGATTACTCACCAGGCAAAGTGCTGCACGCATTTGCAGTCATGCATCTACCATGTGTACTTGATATAGTAGGACTACGAAATACTGTAATAGCTGCGAAGCCGACTATATGCATGATCACGGATAACACGGTACCACAAGCCTTGGGAGTATAGCGATTCGCGCTCACGGTGGACTATCGAATGAAGACTATTCCGAACAAGGCTTAGCCCGTCCGCCACGTTTGCTCAGCCACCCTCTTTCGTACGCCGCGACATCTGGTGTGTGATCAACTCCGCATTCTACTTGTACTTCTGACCACTTTGTCGCTCCTTCCTTTTACTCCAGTAAACCTTGCCTTCCCTACTTACCCTTCATTCCTTCCTTCTTCACACTTTTCCCGGAGGATCGCCATTCACACCTGGCACAACCCCCCAACAAAGTTCGATCGACAGCTGGAAGAGATTACCCAGCCTTGCCGCCCAGTAAACGACGTAACAGTCTTTTTGCCTTCCGAGGAGTCCATCACACTTACACCACACTCTCTGTAATCCTCACAAACCATCAACATGTCTAAGCCATACGTAAGTCTGCCTCGCATCCGCTAGCGTCTCCTGTCGCAATGCGCGCGACATTCCCATCTCCTATCCAATCCAGTCGCAACCACAACCACGTGCTAACCCTCTCTCAGGACCAAGGCGCACCACCCGCCTATCCCCCACCAGCGCACCAAGATGCTGGCCCAGCCCCCGGCGGCATGCAGCCCTCATACTACAACCAAGGCGGTGCCCAACCCGACTACTACGGCGGTAGCCCGAACCCCTACCAACAAGGCCAGCCTGGCCCCTACGGACCGCCACAGGGCCAGTACGGACCTCCTCAAGGACAATATGGACCTCCCCAAGGAGGATACAACGGCCAGCAGATGCAGTACCAGCAGGGTCCACCGCCCCCAGGCGGCTACTACCAGGACGACAGGAGGGCTGATGGCGGTGGTGGCGGTCTATTTGCGGGATTGTGCGCTGGTTTGGCGTGCTGTTGCTGCTTGGACTGCTTGTTCTAGACGCGTTGTCGAGACAAGCAAGGCTGGATGGAATGATGGAGATGGGACGCGCAAGAGGTGGCATACCAGATGGAGCAATTTGGCTTTTTGGCCGCCTGAGATGCGTATACCATGCGAAGACGGATCGAGAAGACGAAGATTCCGCGTACAAGCTATAGACCAAGGTTTCTTTTTTTCTCACTGGGGTCTCTTTGGACATGACTGATTGTCGATTTGGAGGCATATCAGGGAGTGCTGCCAGCTATCATCTTACCTAATTCGACGATTTCTTTCTCGGAATCCCGTTCGTACTTGTTCCTGTCTCGAACGCCCACGGTTATGGTTATTGGCTGATTGTACAGGTATTTGCGTTCGAGGACTGTTTGCCAGCACGCCGAGTGCGGCGACTTGAACGAACGTCGTGTTTGCGTGCCACGCAAGTAAAGTCCGAGGTGCCATCATTCACCCCAATGCGCCAATGCGCACTCTTGGAGTCGAGCGAAATGCAATTGATTGCTGCCACGCAAGCACCGATGTACACTCACCTTCGGCCCTTAGTTTCTCAACTATAAGCGCACGATTCCCTGGACTTACTCTAGAAAGGCTGTGAAGCATCGCCGCTACGGGTATATAGATAAGTTTCTGACGACAGCTCGGTCACCGACATCGGATCGCCTGACCGGCGTTCACTCACCGTACTGAGGGGGCTAGACGAGGACGTTGGAAGGCGTGGAAGTTGTGAATCAACAAACATCTCTCATCACATCTTTCTTCACATCTTGAGTGCTTCACGGCTGCAGAGTTGAGACATGGCGGACAACAACAACCCCTCAGGGTACACTCCTCCTGCTCCTGATGCCGTTTCCGCTTCCGATATACCATCGCCAGCATCTCCCACTATGGACCTGCCTGGATATGTACCGCCTGTATATGAAGTATGTGGAATTTGACCCTGTTGTTTTCTGCAGATCAGCTAACTAGCTCAGATATCCAAGAAGTGCCAGGAAGAAGCAGAAGGGACCATGTACCCAGACCAGCCGGACAATCCGAACAACGAGCACAAATGGCTGTACTGCGAGAGCCACAGCGGGGACACTCTTGGATATTTTGGATGCGTCTGTGACAAGACACAAGAATTTGGTCGCAACCAGTACTTCTCCGCCGATTGCATATTGAGGGAATTGGTCGGTGACGACAAAAGAAGGCGTGCGTACCGTGCCCCCGCCCCAAGCAAAGGAATTAGAAAATGAGTGAGAGAGCTAACCCATAACTGGCTAGTCTTTCTCAAGCAGTACTCTTCAGGCTGTATTGGTAAGACCTTGATCGATCTCACTGGAGCCTGGGCTCAGTACAATCCGCATATCCCAGTCTCCACTTTTACCACTGCGCAGTCCACCACCACCACGAGCTCTCAACCTAGTACGTCTACTCAACCGAGTACACTGACTCAGGCTACAAGCGCAACCATTTCCGCGGCGTCCTCGAAGACTACCACGACGCGACTCACCACTACAATCACCAATTCCACAACCACCGTAATGCCTACACCGACGGGGCCAGCCGATGGACAGATACCCATCTGTGGAGTATGCGGTATCAAACCCGCACTTCTGCGCGCTCACTAACATCGACCAGATTCCACAGAAGTGCATGACGACAAAGCCACAGGGTGAGTCGTTGTGTCTCATGGGCGACCTCGACTGCATATGCAAGGCCAGCAATTCGCTCGAACATAACACGGAATTCAGCCAGCAGTGCGTTCTCGACGCTTGCTATGGTGACATTGGCAGAGAAGGTAAGTCTTATTACGTAAAGCATAAAATTACGTCGCTCACCACTGACTTCGCTGCAGAGTTTCTCGACAGTCTCTACTACCACTGCAAGAAGGTAGACAAGGAGCTTATCGACATACCGAAACGATGGGAGCCCTACCTTCCAGTCACCTTCCCTTCCACAACGCCCGACTCGACGACGAGTGACCCCAAGAATCCTGCACCTGATTCTGCCGGCGTCAAGCTCAATCCCCAATCCATCGTGGGCATTGTCATCGGAGTCCTTCTCGTCCTCTGTATGGTTTTCGGATTGCTGTGGCTCTGGTGGAAGAAAAAGAGGGAGGCCAAGAAGCTGCGCGTCGAAAACGCTCAGATGCTTGATGCTATGAACCCTGACGGCTTCAGCAACAGGATCCATACCTTGAGGGGCGACTCATCAATCCGCGACTTCTCAGATCTCCAGGGAACCGGCAGCGCAGGCTCCGACGCCGCAGCATCCAGGCACGGTACCGCATCCACCTACAACGACGCGACACTCGTCGGCTCGCCGCGGAGCACGACTGCCTTCCCCCTCAGCCCTACAACCCCTAAGAGCCCAATCCCCGAGTACGGTACAGCCGACGAAGACTGCGCCATGTCGACGTTCGTCCGGTACCCCGGTCATAAGCCATACAATGACGGCCAATTCGAGCTACCCAACAACCAGCTTCGCGGCAGTCAAGTCATGCAGGGCCAGCGCAACACGCAAGATGACTCGGCGAGTGAGTACAGTGCACGCCGGCCTAGCTACGGCGATGACTCCATCGACATTCGGCAAGACAGGGAATCGCGGGCACAGTTTGAACGAATGCAGCGGGATGAGTGGGAGAGAAATGGGGATCTGGAGCCACGCCACAACCGGGGAGGTGCATTTTGAGATTGCGTGTTTTGGTTTCATTGATATCTCCCTGTTCCTACCGGTGAGATGCTTCGGAATATATCCCTGCGGACTCGTGTAGCAGTTCCTGCGGATGCCCGTTGGGCGACGAGCTTGGTTTAGGCTTATCTCCGTTGATAAAGTCGCACGGAGCTAGGCGGTGCATGCGAACCGGTAGTACAGAACAATCTCAAGTGCGGCTTTTATGTGGCTAGCCGTTTGCCAAGTGCCGTTGAGATTGTTTATGTTGGTGTTTTGTGTGAGTTGAGGTAGGGCATGTGCTCTGATTGGGCAGTGGAGAAGGTCAGAGGTGAGAGAGCAATCGCGGGCGTTTGCACTTAAAAGCGAGTAAGGCTGAATCTCTTCTGCTCTTGATGGGCTTCTTCTTCTTCGACTCGATCTAGCCATCAACGCTTACGTTCGACATGATACTTTACGTGCTATTCTTGCTGATCAGCATCGTCGCGGCGCAAGCGCGTGATCAATTCTGTGTGCCTCCGAAGCCACCACTACCGCTTCCTGACTGTACTGTAAGTTGCTTGTACTGGCCATGCAGCTATTCTGGTAAACTATGTCACTGACACTGGTGCCAGAGGCAATGTCTCGTCGGCGAGGGCAAGTTTCTCGATGGCAATTGCGCCGATAACCTCGCTGGCTTTTGTAGCCTTCCAGACGTTATCCCCATACACTTCAACATGTTTGGTCCGTGTATTCTCGGTGCATGTCCAAGCTTGACGGACCGACAAGGTAAGTCTCGAATGTGCGCGACACACTTGATCCAGACATACTAATAAGAGACCGCAGACTATGTGAATCTATTCTTCGCAGCGTGCGAGGATAAAAACGTCAGATTCATATCTAGCGAAGACTATTTCAACTACAAGGACTTGCTCAAGGACACAACATCGAGTAGTACTGCGAAAATTACTGTAACTGTGCTATCATCTACCAGTGATCCACACGCGTCAACAAAATCGGGAGGAGATGCACCCATTGATTCTACGGATAGTACCATCACTGGAGTCCCAGTAACATCGGTCGCTACTTCTACAGACACAGGACAATTGGCAGACGCATCTTCCCAGCCATCACTGTCAGCGTCTCCAACGCCATCGAGCTCCACAACAGAAGGGGGAACGACATCAGTTGGGCCAGCGCCGCTCCCGAACGACACTGGTCTCGCGGAATCTACGTCGAAGGGGCAAAATGGCGTGACTGTCCACTCGCATGTCACTATCACTGCAACCTCGAAAGCCGCACCTCAATCTACCGCCACTGCCGCTGCTGCGCCTACACTCAGTACCACCGCTATCGCTGGTACAGCAGCAGGCGGTACTGTAGGTATTGCGCTCATCATCGGCCTCATATTCCTCTTTATGCGCCGTCGCAAACGCCAATCTTCACTGGCGTCTCCAGCAGATATATGGGAGCCCTCTCGCAACACCAGCCCGAAGCCTAAATTGCCAAATATCCAGGATGATTCGAGCTTCGGTCGATACTCGGAGATGGGAGCCGGTGTACCGATGCGCCAACGCTCGAAAGCCGAGCTACACAGCGAGGATATATCAGTGCCACGTCCTCAAACAGGCTACTTCAGACCCCCAGAGATGCATAGTGAAGGCAGCGAAAACGCGCGATACTATAGTTCAGCACAGCTACCTGAACCGCATCGTCATGGAAGCAACATGGAGTCTCGATACCCTGAGCTGAGTTCACACGCCGTGACTAGCCTATCATCACCCACATCGCCCATCTCTCAAATTTCAACAATGCAAGGCTGGCATGCAAATTCGCCTTCCGGCGGTCCGACTATCAGAATGAGCAGCACTGATCTCCGTAGCGAGGGAGTGAAAAGTCCCGTCAGCGAACTTGGCACGAATGCACCTCTACGCTCTACACGCTCGGCTGAACTGCATGGTGCGGGGACCCTGAGTCCAATGAGTGAGCTTGGTACTGATAGCTTTCATGGTGCGGGTCATGGAGCGGCTGAGTTGCACAATGAACCTCTACTTCCGCCGCAGCTTGATGCAAGAATTCAAGGAAACGTACCGGATGGCGTCGCGGAGATGGAGGATTTGAATATGCATAGAGGCGATCGGCCTGGGGTTTCTACGAACTTCTGATCATTTGGCGCTTGAGCTAGACTGGAAGTTTTCAAGCAGATGGTGTACGATTATAGGGAATTAGTAATGAAAAGCAAGATTGCATGGCAAGTTTACTTCCCCACAATCCAATCGGGCATTTGACCTCAAGTCGTAAGGTTTTGTTGGGTTTCTTGTCATACTCTCTAATTTAAACGCATGTATAGACAAGGATATGGCCAGTAAGGATCTTGACTGTAGCGCTGGGGAAGATTCAACTCACCGGCGCGGTGTACGAACATGCATCCCTGTTGCAGTGCCACGTTAGTGTAACGATCCGTGGGTGACAGCCGCCTTATTGGATCGTGAAACAATGTCAATGTTGTCGCAAGGCAGAATCTTTACAGCTCAGCGTGAAAAGAACGCAATAAAGTCCGGCATAGGATCGAGAAACGCGTTTACATAGTTGGCTTGCTCGGAAAAGCGTGGGGGGGAGGTATCGAGCAATCCAGCAATCTACAGGGCACTTCCAATACTCCTCACTGAGCCTACAGTCTCACCGTCTCTCTCTCCGATACGTGAAGCTTCCATCAACATTCCATGCAGGTTTCCGTTAGTGTAAGTATTGACGGGTCGGTCGTTCAGCCCTATCGGGCATTCTCTCAGCTCGTTGGGAGATTAGAAAGCGCTGGGACCGGCCTCTTCGTGGCTATGTACTGATATACATGTACAAAGTGACTTGTTTGGAAAGAGAGCCGCATGTTATCCCAAAAGATTGTTGCTTCCCACGAGAAGTTGTGTAAACAGTGAGTTTCAATAAGCGAGCTCTGTATGTTGTGTACGTTGAGACAGAATATTGGGGAGACCTTTGACCATGTCGAAATGGAAATCGTAAGAGGATACCGTGCGCAAAAGCCTCTGAGTCTACGGATAAAAGCACGCTGTAGCTCTGGGCGTACTGACAGCTCAAACCCATACACCCAAACGCTCAGCTAGCCTCAAAAACACCAAACAGTTGACACGCATTAGCTCAAAAACTTTGTAAGTGAGTGCTTCCTCGTTTTCAGTCCATAGCCATGACGACTAACACCAAAGACCACAGCAATCCAACCCAACCCAATCATGGCAACCACAACACTCGCTACCTCTATTGTCGCAACCTCCGCTTCACCCGCAGAAAGCGCCACTTCCACCAATCCCAACGAGTATGTCTACTTCGGCGTTCACGGCAAAGCCATCATGATCGGCCTCGCAGCCACAGTTGCGCTTCTCTTCTTCATCCTCGTCTGCATGGCGTGCTGCTGGCCTAAAGAGAAGAAGCGCAACGACCAAGGAGACTATGTGACGACGACTTATTGGAACGGCGCTGGGAAGAAGGGGAGATGCTGTTAGATCGGATGATAATGGTATGGGATTGGAGGTTGAGCGATAGCGCGGCTGGTCGGAAGGGTACGATGTGAATGCGGTGGTCTTCGAGATAAAATGAGGTGCCAATACTATACACTGCGATACAAATAATACAGCTTGTTGAACTGAAGTGACTACTAAGCGACATCTTGAAGAAATAGGGAGGTTAATGCCCGTCAGCCCACCAGGCCTCCACCAACACCCCATCGGTAAACTAAGGATCATAGGACGTGTGCAAGCAGCGCGATCATGGCTGCTTGTAAGACTTACTCCTCATCCCTCTTTCTATCTTAACGAACTTTTTCCTGCATCCTGGCTGAACAAGATGGCTGGCAACCTTACATTCAGTGCACCATCTAGGCACCCCAAATGCCACAACAGTCCCTTTACTATCCTCAGAGACATCGTTCACAACGTCCTGCAGCGAGCGGGCTGGGTCGGTCGGCAGCGAATTCTTCAAGACCATCTGTACGGCACTGATGATGGTATATGCCGCATCGTTACTGGCTGTGTGACCATCGCGAAACTCCACGCCAAAGTGTGGGATCAAAGTTTTTAGTGCGATTTGCTGGCCCTTTTTCTGGCCCTTTCCACGAATACCCTGCTCATTCGCAATCTTCTGGGTATCGATAATAGCGACAACGTTGCTGTCGAATTTGGGGTCGATACCAAGCTCTTCTTGCAGCATCCGAAGGTCGTTCTTGACTGAGTGGCCGAGGAATATGACTGGGCATTTAGGACCATCCTCGTTGTCATCATCGACAGGCCACGCGAGTGTTTCGACCAGGAACTCTTTTGCGTCTTCCTTCGTGGCAAAGCGCGTTGAGCCGAAGTGGTTTCTTTCGGGGTTTCCTCGGACGAACCTCCAGTTGATAAGGTGTGCATTCTCGCGTATACGAATGTGGTAATAGTAGATGTTCTGTAAGACGTTTTCTCCATGTATACCGGGATTCTCGAGAACTGGCGCCATCTCTTTCCGCGAAAATGTATTGAGCCCATATTCTGTCAGCACTCGTGGCTCTATCTCGTGCATTTCGCAATCCATGGTGACAACGATGGTATGCGCCGCTAGTGGTGGTGCGCCAGGCATCTCCATACCAAGGCCATACTGCAATATCTTGGTATGGCTTTTGCCCAGGAAGAAGCGTCGGACCTCTTCCATGGGCGTTTCAACAACATGCGAGACGGTAGCTGTGTTGGTGCCATAGAGTTCTTCGAGAGAATCAACTGAGTTGATTGAAGCGCTTGAAGACATGGCAAGCGATTAATATATGTATGCTGATACCAGATGTTGGGTTTCTGGTCGGGAAGTTTTGTATCATGAATATTGTGATCTTGTTGAAGCTATTAGAACCGCTAATGAAGAAGACTTTTCGGGGGTTCAAATAAAGTCGTGTGCCTTTATAGACCCGTGTTTTTTGCTAATGAGGTGCAATTTAGCACGGTGGCCCCGTATGTGGTACCAGGGTTCGCGGCGTCGCTACCTGTAACCTATCTCTGGAGATGCCAGTAGAAGCTCGAGTATTACCACGCCAATGGTAGACCCACCATGAGTAGAGCGTATGATAATGCTGCATTGCCGAATTGTAGGTACCAGCTTCGTCAGCCCTGTATACTGGAGGAATCGCATACGCGGGCACGGCGAAAACCTGCGTTATACTGTCTAGTACCTCATTGGCATGCTTACTCTTCTCCACCGAGTTGGTGTTTTGAATTGGTCAGAGTGAGGAGTCGAGTGATGTAACAATGTCATCATGGCATAGAACCAGGGGTAGGCTCGTGCTGCATGCTGTGCATCCGAAACTTCGCATGTACGCGCACTCGTTGTTCTACTCAGACGCACTTCGTCGATATCGCATGTTGCTATAGTACCAGAAGACCCATTTAGCGACATCATTTGACTCTGAATGGGTGGCTTGATTCCAGGAGAATTACAATTACCTAGGTCATGACTGGAGCTACAGTCAGACCCTCTTTTACTACCTGAGTTCGCCCAGTGTGCGCCGCTAGCGCTTCCAAACAAGTAACTCAAATCGCAGCTTCGTAACGTATTTTTTCGCTTCTGGAATCCGTAGAAGCGGCTAAGTTCGCAATCTCATGAAGTTGGTGCCACAAGATTTCCTATGGAGGAACCTCGAAATGGACTTGCCAGAACGTGATCTCTCGACCCGAAAGAAGTAATATGCGCTGCGTCACGAAGTCTAGCATCGAGCGAACCTTCTCGTACCCTTTGGCCTTCAGCCGATCAGACGTGAGTGGCTTAAGAGCCCATGAGTATGGCGCATTGCTAGACATATCGAGATCGCCTTGTATTTCGAGCTGTTCAAGCGTGACACGCCCGAGCCGATGCATGTCTTTCATTGCCACGAATACGTCTCTCCATGCTGCTATGCTCGTACCTGTGACTGTGACATGCGAAAAGCTCACATCTTCCAATGTTGAGCGATGACGGAGAAGCATCCGAAGCAAATTGCGCCCGTGACTGCGAGACCGGAAGAGATGTAACGTTCGAAGACTGGTCCAGGAAGACTGCACAAAGACAGTCCGCAACATCCGGTACTCAAAGTCACAGCTGCGTCCATAGAAGTGCTCGACTGCAGTAGCATAGATAATCATCTCCGATATCCATGTTAGCAAGGCAGGAACCTCGCTGCCATCAATATCACTCATTGCGCAATCGAAGGTTAGACTTCGTATCCGAGGAGCTATAGCTCTCCAGCTTTGATGACCAGGATCATAAATCCTGCCGTTCGATGGAAGGTTCGCCGCAGTGATTGTCAGGTCGACTGTGAGCTTGTCCAAGTCAACCGTGCTCAGTATTCTCGAGAGATTCTCCAGCATGATGACCTCGGCGTAATACTCCATGAAGAGAAGGCCATCGAGGCTAAACTCCAATAGAGTTCTCGAACCAGATGGGGCCAAATCGGTAGTCACTTCGATGGCGTGTGCCCCGACTGCGCGATAGAGCGACATGGTACCTCTACTCCGTAGTATGGGTTTGGCGAATCGTTCTTCGTAATATGCCCCTATAGGACGGGGATTGATCTTGATACTCTTCAAGTTCGTAAGCTTTCCGATGGCATCTCGAACGTATTTGGCCGCTGTGCTAAAGCGGTTCTGGTGCTCGACCAGTCTTTTGAGTGTGCCTTCGTACTTTTGAAGCCAGCGGGTATAGCCACCTCGGTCATTCCAACGAACCACTAAAGCTGATCCTGAACCTCTTCTAGTAAGGCCTTTCCAAAGCGGCTCCGGAAGCTTGACCATGGGCCATACAGGTCGGGCAGAATCCATGTGTATGTAGCTCTGAGGGTGTGGACATCCCATAGACGGCTCTTCCCACGGCTCTTTGATATATCGAAGGTCCACATCCAGATTCGTGTTTAATAGCTCCGGGCCGAACTCCAACTCTTCCACGTATGTGCACAGATGCTCGTTTTCAGATAGGTCCTTCAGAATGGCCAGACTCCATGGCATCAGGCTGAACTTGGATGAAGAGAGATGACGCTGTAGGAATGCGTCTTGGGTCTTCGAATGGATGATTCGACTAGCGAGACGGAGATTAGAAAGGCTTATGGGGTCAAGGATGAAGCTCTCCCCGTCTGCGTACGACGCCCGTGAGTGGCAAATCTGCGTCCAGATCTCAGGAGGTAAACCTTCAAACGTAGGTTCTGGTTTTCCAGGGAGTGGCGGCTCTGACATCGCTCGTGTGGAAAATAGTTGAATGTGTGCCAAGCTGCGAAGTGGTGGTCAAGAAAGGTATTTGGCGACGTATAACAGGAAGTGAGCTGGAAAGGTTTGTCCGTCTCCCTGGAATCGCTTTCTCACAGGTGGGAAAGCGACTACGACACGCGAAAGACAATCATTTCTCCTAATACCATGGCTTCTATGGCGATTTCGAGAAGAGACCATGATCAGATGTCAGGAAACCAAAGTCTCCTGCAACATGTCGCGAAACAGCTGCGGAATGGGAGGTAAAACATATGTCCACGTCTCCGAAACTCCACAATGTTGACTGGATCCATTAGTAAAGAAGGTTCTAGAAGATTACCGTAACTGCTGCACCAGGAGGTACAGGTCAATCCAATCGCCTACATTCAGTGTTGTCCAGTGCCAGCATCTATGCAGTGACAACGCCCAGGGTAGCTCGAGGTTGCGTGGCCCTTGCACATAGTTGAGCTGCAGATGGATGCTAAGCCTTCGTGTATCTGCCCAATGGAGGCGCACTCGATCAGTCACACGTTGGGCGGCCGTATTGCATCCGGTCTGGCTATTGAAAGAGAAGGAATCTAAGGATACCCGAATGATGTACCTGGAATGCGCAGAAGTGATAACGTGGTAGAGATGGCATCTAGCTCGCGACAAGGTGCGAGGCATTAGGTGGGGTGGCAAAATCTTTGTCAAAGCTTCTTGGCGTCGCGTCTCCTTCCCATGGTCCCGCGACGCGAAGATGACGCGACATTCCGCCCTTGGCTTTCTGACCACCTGCGCCAACTTGGGCCCAACAGCAACGCCTCGCATCGCCGAGCAGTCCCAGGTCTGAATCAAGACAACACACGAGAAATGGTTGCTCAAAGTAAGAAAGTCTGCTTATTGGGTCACTTTAGACACATAGGAGATATTTGGCCCATCTGAACAGGTTCTATTGAAAGTATCGAACCACGCCCATCACCCGAAATACGTACGACCGACACGTCCACCAGCGCATAAGCACGCTTCTGCTTCAACCCCCAAACCCGACGCGCTCAAGACCTCCTCGGAGCCGAACTCGTCTTTCCAATCCCGCCGCCACCTACGCCAAAAGTACCCGGCCTCTTGCTTGGCTGGAAGCTCATCTGTCTCGTCTCATTCGTGGCGGGCTGGGAGGGCGCCACGGGAACGGGATCCGGCAGAGCAGGCGCGGAGGTCTTCGCCGGACATGGCATTGCCGGAGGAGACTTGGAGGGGGCTGTGAAGCCGGCAAACACAAATGGAGGGGCGGCAGAGGC